AAATGCTAAATTATAAAGGTCAAGCAACATGTGTACATTCATTTGACTGATGACAGACACCTTTTCACCGATAGAGAAGGATTTGATGAGTCAATAAAACCTCCACTCTGCAATGTACAGCACAATATGCTTGCCTGATGACCTGGGAAATGACATTGATATTGGACCATATTGGAGCAGTAAGACATTTTAACAGGAGACAACGCTAGATGTGACACAGATGGAGCAAAGGGGTGTCCGAGGCAAAGGGTGACAGACAAATGAGGAGCTGCCAGAGCACCCTGGCACATTAAGGAAGATGATTCACTCTCACTACAAGAAGGGCCAGCTCACCATCTGTGAAGTCGGAGGGGTAGTGAGGTAGGCGGCGGCACAGGTCCTCGTAAATCCCCCGGCCGGCTCTTAAGAAGTCTTTATACTGTGGACACAAGAGGAAAGGTTACACACACGTGGCTAAGTATCAGCGGTAATCTGTAGGAGTAAACATGCCAGTGTGTGCCATCAACAGACGCAGATTTGATTTGCTTATTCAAAAAAGAGTTGAGTGATTTTGCAATGTGGGTTGGCGCAGAATATATGAATGTTAAACTTTACACATCTGTTGTTGTTTAGAAAGAACAATACATTATATATTAGATAACACAATCTTCAAAGGTGTTTTGTGTTTCCAGGCACAAGCTAAATTGTATTGTTATATAGTTTTTTTGAGTTTTCACTTTAATAATGATAAAGCGCTTGGGCTTGATAGGGAAAACACCGAAATGTGAGAAATGTGATATTGACCTTTTTTGCTACAGGAGGTAGACATTTTTCAAAAAAAGGGAAACACATAAACTTATATAGTGGAGAAAAAAACTGCACTCATTGATTGTTTGTGCAAATGTAGGCGTTAAAATGGCAGAAGCATTTTCTTTCTTCGCCTATAGGTGGCTCTGGTTGGTATTTGTCGGACTAGTTTTTATCTCATTTGGAGAAACCGTAACCAGCTTAACAAAAACGAGTGCTTCACAAGCTAGTTCCGTTTTCCTTTTTAGTGTATCACGTTTTTGTAAAGTTAACATTTTGCTCCAAGGCATTTTGATCATTTGTAATGGTGACCCCCAAGTCTGCAACAACACAAAAAGCCCGAAGCTGTATACCACTCATAAACTTTATTCCATGGGGCACTGTGCTATGGACAATGACATTAAAATGAAAAATGACCCATTTGATGATTCAGCTAAGACCCTGGTGATTCCACAGGGGGCTTTCGGAAAGCTGATTTGAACTCATAAAACTTAACGAGATAGTCGGAGGAAAGCTTCACTTGCGTAATCCAAAACAAAGTCAGCAGATCAGCTGGACTACATTTTGTGTAGATTTTAAAAAAGATCCCTGAACGATCAAGAATCACGAAGAGATGACAGCTAACGGCAAGGGATGGGAGATTATTTTTGAGAGATGTCAAGAGGAAGACGCTGGGGACAGAAACACGTGATTCACAGAGAGAGACATAGCGTGCTTCTTTAAAACATGAGCTTTAAGGTTAAACACGATAGAGAGCAAATGTGCAGTCCTGCCTGAGCTTATTAAGCAAATGATCTAATTACAGAATGTTTCATTTTCTTGTTGAACATGGCATTACAGAACTAGGGGTGACGAAGGTGTGTGCGCGAGTAGGAAAAGCCCCTAGGAACATCACTCCTGCCTCATTCGTCATCCGAAAGACTTTTGACGTTTTTTGGCAGAACGGAGCATTTTTAAACAACCTGAAAACAAAACAACAGTGTGTGTGTGTGTGTGTGTGTGTGTGTGTGTGTGTGTGCGTGCGTGCGTGCGTGCGTGCGTGCGGCCTTATCACCAGCTCTTGGCTCAGGTTCGATAAACAAAAGTCTCGCGGAAGACTTACTGTCCACCTGTTAGCCATTGTTTCTAAACGGAAGGAAAAACAGAAAAACACAACACAAACCATTTGGCCTTGTTTTTGTAAAGTGTAGGAAAGTGGTGTGTTCTTGCGGGTGGTCCGATGCCATTTTCAGAAAAAGGAAGGAGGTGGTCTCATTTTCTGTTCCCTCTTAATTTCACCTGCTCCACCACCTACCATCCCTCTTTCGCCTTTTCTGTCTCTCTCTATATATCGCGCTTTCACTGAGTGGCACTGAGCCTTTCAAGCCCTGGGATAAACACCTAACAAAAACCTGCACTATAAAAAAAAGGGGAAATGTCTGGGAGCCCTGGCCTGTCAACGGCAACATTAAGAGGAAATGTTGCTTTGTGGCATTGAGCAGAGCCCCTCTAGAGGTGTGTGTGTGTGTGTGTGTGTGTGTGTGTGTGTGTGTGTGTGTGTGTGTGTGTGTGTGTGTGTGTGTGTGTGTGTGTGTGTGTGTGTGTGTGTGTGTGCATGTAGCTAAAGGGTGGGGGAGATCTGACAGGACTGTGTGAGATGTAAGGTCATTTGCCCACTGAGGAGGCCTGGCAGGAGTTGACGCTGATTGATTAGGTGGAGGGAAAAGATGGAGGACTCACGCCAACCGAGCGAAGAGGAGGAAGAGGAGGAAGTGGATGATGAGGAGGAGGAGGAGCAGGAGGTGGATGATGAAGAGGAGGAAGAGGAGGTGGGGTGAAAAAAGAATTGGAAGCGGGGGCAAAAAGTTGAAATGTGTAAATGAATGTGCATAGTTTTATATCTATTCAGAGCGCTGTATAGAAATTAGATGAGGAGACGTAGGTAGAAGGTGAGGGAGGAAGATATAGGAGGACAAGATTTCAGGAAATACATTAAGTCTGACATGAAGAGGAAAATTAGTGAGTGCTAACGAAGCCTCATCTCAGGGCACTGGAAATGACTCATAATGTGAATAGACGGTGCTTTATAATGTGTGGAAATGTGCCTCATCGCCTTACACTGAAAGGTTGTGCACACAGGATATGCTTCTCACACACACATATAAAAGCCGGTACCCACCTCGAGGGGCTTTTGACTGCGGGGGTCCGTCTCTTCCTTCCCCAGGGCGGTGGGCTGCTGGAGGGTTGCCGTCAGCTGGTGCCTCTGGAACACAAGCGCCTCCTTAAACTCCTGCTTGGTCTTGGTCTCCAGGAGCTTCTGCCTGAAGGAGATGTCGGAGAAGAGCGTGGCGAACGTCCTGCCCAGCTCCATCGCCGTCTTGGTGCTTTTCTGTAAGGGCGAGCATATGGAAGAGGTGATGCATTGTGAAGATGGCTGGTTGTTAAGCCAATGTAAAACCAATAACATGTAGCTGTAGTGACAACACTGACATATTATTATAACCTAATGGCTTAATAGTTCCTTTTGTATGCAATGAGTTGACAAAGAACCACATAAGGATTACACTGGAGTGGGGTTTGCGTCCAGATGATGAATTTAAGTCGAATTTTCATTCTGCTTTTAGCTCTGTTTTGGTCTCCACCATCATGCAAGGGAAATATCTTGCCGTTTAGCCAGCAACGATTAAGACGGTTGTGTTTTTCAAAAGCTTTATCACACAAAACAGCTGCCCCATGAGGTGGAAAATGGCAATGGTTTGTGTTTTGAGGTAATTTAAAAGAGTAATGTAGCGTTTTAGTAAACTAAAACAATAAGCTGAAAGATGCTGCAACGCTTTGTAGATCTTAAAGTGGACCTATCATGCTATATTTGAATAATATAGTGTAGGACCATACCTATATAAGGCATATTTATACTTAACTCAAAATACCACAACAGATCATGCATTTTAGCCATGCCTCATTTCACTCAATTTGAAAAATGTTAGCTCTGTTTTTGCAAGGGCTGATTCTGTGAGAACAGCACCATCTACTGGCCTGGCATATGTACTACAGCGTCTCCAGCGCTTTCGAACGGCAATGGCCGTGGCTGTCTCCTCCTGATTGGTGGAGTTGGCCCAATAGCCATAGCGCCACCGTCCTGACGTCAGGACAGTGTTCAAATCTGGATCAGTTTTTATCAGATCCGTTGCAGCCCCTTTTTTAGAGATTTGGGTATGGAGGAAAATAGAGAGGGTTGTGTTTTCTGACACTTGGTGAGTTCCCTGGAACACCGGGGACACATATTCATGTATAAAAGACGTACAAAAGTGCATTTTGCATGATAGGTCCCCTTTAAGGGAATCACAAAGTCAAAATATCTTTCCCTGCAGGTTTACTTCTACCTCTTTCAAACTACACAAATTAGGTCAGTAAATGTTTAAACAAAAGTCGAGATCACTGCAGCTTCATTTTTTTATTCAAATGTATGGCTTAAAAGGTCGAAATATCACAATTTAAAAAATGGTATTGGTCTAGAATCTAGATCACTATATACTGTCATAAATACTATTAGAAATGTTATATATATTTTTAAATCGATGTGTAATAATTCCTTTGTTTTCCTGGTATTTAATTTGCCAAAAACATTTTCACCTGGTCAATTTATGTATAATTTCCCTTTCAATTCAAAATGTGTTATATCATGATATTGCAATCTATAAGCAATCACAACTTAAAATGCCATTATTGAATATCTCTTACTTGCAGCACATATTTAATGTAATGCACTGAAACTCATGCTTCTATTTCCAATGCAGTACTGGATATATAGAATCTGGTCTGAAAATAAGGACTATGTAAACATTTCTGCTTCAACAAACGGGCAGGTTTGGAGTCGGGTGTTTGGGGCGCTTTTGTCCATAATCCCACATCTGTTATAAATAATGCCATCAGAAGGCACAGGGCGATGGTAATAATGTCCTGGGAGGCTCTGAGACGGTGTGCCAGGGAATGATGATACCGACATGGAGGGGCTCAGCGCGTGCAGCAGAAGCAGCTGCAGCAAACAGAGTAACTAAAGCCTTTAAGCTTTTTCACAGTGGTGACTGAATATCAACCAGAGCCCAGAGAATGGATCTCGATGAATGTAAAGGCTTGCTTTCACAATAAAGCACCTTCAGCCCGACTGCAGGGTTTGTTCTCATTCACTGTTAGAGTGTGCCTACAAAAAAGAATGCATTTCAATGTATATATAATCCACATATTTAATTGTTTTATGTAACCCTCATAACTACTTCTAAGGAAATAGAAGTGTACAAAAGGCACCAAAGTCTGTGTAGGTGGGATGAAAATGCGATGTTTCCTATTGAGATGTTTGTTTATCCCGTGAAACCTCGAGTCAACGTTGACTCACGTTAACCTACCTTTGTAACGTAAATTAGGCACTAATCAACAGGAGCATGAATAATGTTACGCTGCATTACTACGTTTGTTTATCCAAACAATTAGCTTCTCTTAAACGGGCCCATAATGCGAAACATCTTCCGATTGTTGAATAAGGAGACGATGATTTGATTTCAGTCATTGGATCATTACAATTAATCAAGTGAAAATGAGGGGAAATGAATGTCATGTGTGCATTTCATGATACCATCAAATAGCTGTATTGACATGTCCACCTGATGGTGACAGTAGTGAAAAATTCATGGGATCAACGATGCTTTTCTACTGGTATCTACTAGGATACGTCAAAACGTAGTCTCATCAATGCTGATATTTAAGAAATGTGACCTGCTTGTAGAGGAAAAGTGGAGAGAACAACATATTCAGTTGGATTTATCCTCTTGGTTTGAAGGTCACTAGATTGATTAACCAGAGAAACTGGGAAAGTGTGTGTGTAGAAATGTAGTGATCAACACTGTGCGATCAACATCAAAGACTGAGGGAAGCTTGTTCAACTAGCAGTGGAGCTAGAGGAGCTTCTTTGAGGGCAACAGTGAATGAGAAACAGCATTTTTAAAGAAAGGTCACGTCTGTTCGGCACATTCACGCTGGGTAAAGACAACAAAAAAAGCCACAAATGCCGCGAAGCTTTCTAAATGGTGTGTGATGGGAGTACTCACACACAACATGATTACACACATTTGCCCACCAAAGGAATTCCTATTATAATTATCATCATGCCCCTTCAAAGGTTTCTTGTGGCAGAACCAGTGCCCATCAAGGTTCATTGAGACATAACAGTGCTTTATGTTTACTTGGGGCTTAGATTAATGTCTCCGAGAAGGCCATTAGTGGTTGTGATTGCTGCCTGCAGGACTGGCAAGGAGGGCGCTGGAAGTATTTGGAAAACAGGCACGGACACAAATGGAGGGCTCATGGGGAAAACGGAGCCACACAAACAAACAAACAGAAAACCCGATGCAGTTTGCTGAAGCATCGCTGATTGCCAGGGTCACTCCAGCCCCCTGGTGGTTCCACAGTTTGATGGTGGGTCGGGAAAATTGAGTTCTTAGTGGGGGATACCACACTAAAAGTATGCACAGCATGAAGAAATCCCTTTTTTACAGCAGAGAGGCGGTGTAGGATCGGAGGTTTCCAATCGAGAGAGGAACAACAATCAGTGCCATGTGAAGATGGGAGAGTGAAGTGTGTGTGCGTGTGTGTGTGTGTGTGTGTGTGTGTGTGTGTGTGTGTGTGTGTGTGTGTGTGTGTGTGTGTGTGTGTGTTAAAAGCTCAGGATGAAGCAGTGGAGGACAGAAGGGTTGAGTGGTTTGATGGGAAGAAGAAATAGTTCATGTTTTGATGGGAGAGAAGGGTGTTACAGGATATGTGGCACTCCATCGGCAACAGCAGAGGCTGAAGGAGAAACAGCAATACTGCTCAACAGTGACCCGACGGCCAGGACACTCGCGCCCACACAAAACACTGTGAGGGCTTTGGATTGGATTCAGTTCAACAGACAGATTAGCTGCTCTTTCAGTAGCACTTCCTATATTTTTGTGAATTGAGATATAAAACGCAAGAAAAACTGGAAGCACATTAACTTAAAATGAAGATTTATATTTCTTTCACCTTTAAATGGGCAGTCAATATTTTGGAAATGTGATTTGATAGGTTTTACCTTACACCCATAATACACTGTTATTACGCCCATATTACTCCCTTATTCTACCAAGGTTACACTGTTATTAGACACATTTTAAACCCATAATGCACCGTTATTACACTGTTATTACTCCCATGTTACACTGTCATCAAATCAACGTTTCACTAATATTAGAACCATATTACACCCATGTAACACCAAAAAGACCCCCATATTACTCGGTAATTACACTGTTACTACTCCCATATACAGCCTGACAGAGCCTCTCAAATAAATGTAGTAGCATTCTGTGGTTTAATTGTTTGATTATGTCATGTAATGTAAATACTGTGGTTAATTTCTGTTTAAATTACGAAAACCATTTTCCAAACTGTCATCATCACAACATGATTGTTTCTAACATGTGATTATGGTCTTCTTGAAGGAAGCAACACAACAGGTATTTAGAGGCATGGAGCCATACAATCCTGTTGAAAACGAATCTGTGCATTTGGGGGTGAAAATATGCAAACGCAGAAATATAGTGATCCTTATCCATTCAATAGTTTCATGCAGAACTGAGCATGCTTTTAAGCAAACGAAACTGAATTGGACTCATGACAGGTGGCAGACTGGACCAGAATTTTCAAGAGGGGAATAACATTAAAAGTTGGAACTCATGTACATTTTCCTTTTAGTTACAGTAGATGAAAGCAGGAGGGTATGCAAATGATCAATTAGGGATGCTTACAGTGAGATGGACTTTACAAATCCATACACCTGCAGCTAACACACTTTACATGACTATAACACTTCTGCTAAGAGGAGAGAAAAGACTGGCTGTGGAAATAAAATAAACATTTCGTCACAGTCCGTTATTAGTGATTAATTGAAGAAACTAAAAAGCAAATTCATAAAGAAGGACATTTTAGTTGAATGAGAGTAGTAGCTAAAGGCAAGGACAAATACAGTAGATAATGTAAAGAATATAAGAATATATATATTAATAAATGCCAAACAAGTTGGTCTTCAAATGTGCAGCAAAGTGACATAAATCCCCCCGTATCATTTCCTCCCTCGGGGGGGGCGGCAGTTACCATTTTGGACGGGGCGAGGATCAGGATGACATAGCGGACCTCGCAGCAGTTCTCCCCCCAGTTTTGTGGCCTCTCCAGGCGGGAGATGCACACGTGACGCCTCTGGAGATACTTCACGTTGCAGCTGGAGAGCAGAGGGAGAGGTTTTTATAAATGTCACCGCCTCACCTCACCTTCATTTCCATAGATTAACCTCTCTCTCTCCGCAGCAACAGGTATACGGTATTTAAATGTGCTCGGTGAGCCTGCGATCACCTTCAGACAATCATACACACACACACACGAACATATACGTATATGTTAATGTTCACACATAAATATTCTGCAGAGGCGCTCCACACTCAATCCTGCAGTTCAACAGAAATATTGAATTTTTTCAAACATGACTATTTTACCACCTTCACATATTCTCACTTCGAAATAAATCCATGTAGAGTATCTCAAAAAGTAGTAATTTTTTATTTCTATTCTTTCATTTTCATGTTTAGGGAAATCAATGATTTTACCTCCTCAAATCTACAACTCCTCCAGGATTAATATGTTTTATTTGATTCCAAAACCCTTTACAAATGATACATTTATTATTTATTCCATTTAATCCATTGATTGGTTAGTCTACGAATTGTAAAATAAAATGTGACGCCTACAGACTGTTTCTTAAGCAGAATCTCAAACCACAAATATTCCATTTGATTTGAATGTAACTAACAGCGGGAGAGGCAGATTGTTTTTTCATTTGAGATGCTATAATACATTTATAAATTCACAAAAAGTCTGGATTGATTATTGTTGGTTAACCTCTTGTATTACATCAATATTTCAACGGACACATGATGTCTTACAGGATGCAGAGCCAGGACTGCTGGTACTGGATGCCGGTGGCGGTGGCTGTAGCTCCCTGGATCGTCTCTGACAGCAGGTGCACTGTAGGGGAAAGGTCAGAGGTCAAACGCAAGTCAGATGAGATCCACCTCCAGTCCAGTTTATCCTCACATGCTCTTATTCTCTGCTACACTGTTAAATCCTTCTTGTGCAATACATGATTATTAGCTGCTTTAAACTATCCTAAACATGTACACATTCATTACCGCATTTATGCTGTTTAAACATATACAACTGGCTCTGATTTCTTCATCCAGCCTAATGGTGTGAGCCGAATGCCTAAAAACCCTGGATAGAAGTCTGCGTCTCTGTCTGCATCTCTGTCTGCTGTGCCAAGCCTCTCAATGTGATGTCTACATCAGAAGTTTCTAACAAGCTCGCCTTCTGCTTTAGTTGCTTCTGGCAGTCTGCACAGTGTGCAAACACCGCAGCAACGACAAACTAATGACAGTGTCCATCCAACCCCGGATAACACCAACGCCCGTGTTCACAGATGAAACAAAAACACATTATTCTGACCATGTTTACAACAGGACAAATCATTAAACACGGGCAGCTAGGGACACACGGGGGGGGGAACCAGCTCGCTGCTTCCTAATAAGAGAGGAATCTCCTTTCTCACACTCACAGGGATGGATAATAGTGTTTGGGGGGATATTCTCCAGCAACCCCGACTATCCTGAAACCCCTCGACAAGATTCAGCGTTTTTCAGCTCGCAATTTTCTCGACTCATCAGCACTGAGAAAATTACCGAGTGGAAATGTTTTGTATGGTGAGCAGCGGGGACGATCATTTCCATATCATTCAGATGTTCCCTGCCACTGGTTTCCCCTTTTTCTTTCTGTCTGTCTTTGTCTTCCTCTCCATCACCCTCTCTCTCTTTTACCATGCCGTCTCATCAATAAACTATCCTCCATTCATGCCAGAAAATGATGGGCGTCACCATGACAACAGTATCACAGTGCTCAAGGAGTGAGAGAGCCAGAATCAGAGAGGAGAGGGGAGGGGGGGGGAGAGAAGAGTACGAGGGGTATAGAAAAAGGATGAAAAGAAGCCTGTCGAGAAAAAGGAAGAAACATTGAGACACGAGAAGGAGGAGACATGAAACTGAGAGAGAGGAAATGCAAGCAGAAACAGGGGCAAAGGAACACCAAGGGACTGAAGGGGGGAGAACAATGATAGCAAAAACAAAGAACAAACTAGAAGGAAAATGAGAGTGAAAAGAAGAAGGGAGAGGGAGACAGAGAGGGAGGGAAGGGATGGAGAAGTAAAGGAGATGGACTGGGATTCAATTCAATTAATAGCAGTAAGCCTGACAGCCATGTAATAATCAAAAACCATCCAATTTCTTATTGACGTCAGTGAGGAGAGGAGGGGAGGGATAGCAAGAGAGGGCCATGCAAACAGAACAAAAGAAAAGATCAGAAGATAAAGAGAAGAGTGAAATGTGATGAAAAGTAGATGTTACCAGAGAGAGAGAGGTGAAGATATTGGAGACAGAAATATAAATGTGCGAGGGGTTTTTGTGGTCTTCCATAGCAACAGAATACATGTAAGACCACCAGAGAGAAGCTCACACTGCTACTGTAGCCTTCATACTTCAATATCTTTCAGTGGCAATTCATTTTGTGTTTCTAAGTGAGAGAGATTCAGCATTGGAAATAATTCAACCGCCAGAGCAAAGCATGAATGCAGGTGTTCAGGGTTGACTATCAATAAGCGTGGCAAGCTTTTACAAAACGACTGAATGAATAGTTAGGTCGAGTGTTGTGAGTTTTGGGATTACATTATTTTGTTTTTGTATCTGCCATGAATATGAGAAACATGTTTCCTCATAAAAGTTGACAACTCCATCAACAGTGTACGTCAGGTTTAAAGTATCAATCAGTGAAAAATGAATACTGGACGACGAATGGCTTCTGCAGTAGTTGCAAAGATTGTAAAAATCCGGGTTTGTTTACACAACTTCAACTGAGATTCAAGGCGAGTTTGGAGAAACAAATTAATTGTTTGTCAAACTTTGCATGGACTTTTTTTCTGTGCAGCGAAGGTTAAAACATCCATAAATAAATACACATTTGATAGGAGGACTTTAAATTGGAAACAAACGATCAATATTCTCTGTGTGAGAGGTCATTCCAACCTACTGTCTTAAGTCAGTTTTAACCTCTTCATAGAAAGGAATGAAACTCAATGCCATGAATTCTCCTCCATGAATATGTGGGAAGTGTGTGAGTAAGGTTTCTTATGTGAACAAGTGGCAGACTAATTAAGACTTGCACATTTGACACTTGTCACTTAAGTGAAGATGTCTGCACGGTTTCATCAGCTTTTGGTATGCAAGCACCACCGTTCTCCAGAAAGGGAGAAAAGAGAAACCACAGATGCTCACACGCAGCATATCAAATGTGACAAACTTCAATGGAAAGTGATGAAAAAATATGAGAGAGGCGAGACCGGATGGCTGGATTGGCCCCTTTGATCTCTGTGGATGTTTGTTGGATTTTTTTTTACTGCATTATTCACACGGTTTGGTTTGAGGGGGGGAAAAACTGATTGCAATTTCTGTAAATCAAACGTGGATAATCCACTCTGTCACAAACAAGAGAGAGAGACAAATCAATTACGCTAAAGCGGTTCAAAAACACTGATGTTAATATTTATATTGGCTGACGCACCAGTCTAACATCAGCGGAAAATCTACAGTGATAGACGTACAACACACACACTGAGGTTCTTTGTTTCTGTGTCAGTGTGTGAAACAGCCATGAGCCTTTGGGCAAGGAGACCTCAATGAATCTCGATGATCTTATGACGTCTTAAAGATTAACTTTGATCGCAACCATTGGTAGACCTTCCAGCGAATACACACACACAAAGGGGGGATGATTGGTTTCCTTCAAAGCGTGGAGAGTGGAGGGCACTTTGAAGGAGGCGATTAAAACACAGGAAGGATCTATACAGCAGTGGCAAACGAGGCACTGTACATTAGGAATTCGTCACAGCCAATCACCATGCAGCACACATACGACTGATGTCACATGACAATGAGAGGGCCACAAGGACTGGGTCAATTGCGGATCCTTATTATGTAAAGAGGTTGTCATTATCTTCTATTGGCTTGCATGAAAACAAATTGCTTTGATGGTAAATAAACCAATGCCCCATATGGATATGACATCAAAGGCAAGTTCTGTAAAAGCTAAATTCACATGTTATGATCAGTTTGAAAACTAATATATAATCTCTAAAAAGAAAAGTCAAGGAAATATCTCTGACCTCAATAGCGATAATGTGAAGATATCGTAGGGTTGGACATTGATGCTTTCACAAAATATTTAGACAAGGAGAAGATTTAATTTGTACACGAACAAACTACTGTAATTGAGAGACCAGTTTGAAAACATTTGTAAATAATCTCCCCAAAAAAGCCAAGGAAATATATATCTATTACCAAAAAGGTAAAAGTTGTCTCCTTGAGGTAGGGCTGGGCGATATGAAAAACATATTGCAATATTTTTGACCAAATTCCTCAATATAAATTGTAACAATATAGGGTTGGACATCGATGCCCTAACATAGTAATAAACACAAGGAGATTTTTAAATATTGCTAAATGATCATCAGTAATATATAGACCATGTATGTAAACTACTAAGTAAAGCTTCAAGTCTGGTGAGCAGCCGTTGAACCCAGGAAAAGACTAACAATATTCTTAATCCAAGACCTTATCCAGTCTCATATCACGATATCGATGTAAAATGAATATGGAACAAAGAGAGGAGTCACGTTGATTGGAGGAGATCTGAAGAGGCATCGATATCTGTGACAGAGGACGGATTGCTGGTGTCTGTAATCATTTGATGACTCAATGGATCGACCCAGTCCCGAGCATGGAGGGGAACACAAAGGGCATACTGATGGTGATTGGTACACAAGCAAACCACTGATTGCAGCCTCATGGCGGCTGATGCTGACATTTACATCCAATTAGCACATCTTACCATCATCAAAGAAAACGAAACTTTGAGACTTGTCTGCATGTGGAGAAAAAAGGGAGAAAAAACCAAGGAGAGAAACCAGAGTCAGTTCAGTCACCTTTTCAGATCAACAGGCGACCAGAATCTAATATAGTACACAAATGAAGACACTGAAATACACACTCTGCAACCACACACATATCGACACACTTTCTGGTTAACAGGCACGCACATAAATATCTCTGCTGAACAGAAGCTTCATTTCCTGCCCTCCTTTACCTCATGCATATTAAATATCATTTTCCAGAGAAAATCCCTCAATGTCTCGTCTTTGTTAGGCGCAGAGCGATCTTATCTTGATTACCGTCTACAGGCTATTATCAAAAATTGGATTTTATCACTGATAGTGTGTGCAGAGAAACCATACGTCAATGAAGAGATCAAGACGAGAACAAATGACATGTGTGGCCACAATTTTTTCAACGTGGAAAAAGAGCTTGAATTAATGTCACCAATTTAGTATTCTGATCATTCCCGCAGAACGCTACAGAGAGATTTTCACGGTGAAAAGTCATGCCGCCGGCCTGGAAAAGATATGTTATTATAACAGAGAAGGCATGGTGGGTTGATTCAGGAATACACCGCACATTGTCCTGTGAAACAGAATTAATCATATGCAGAATATTCAGAGTTCCTCCTGTCAGACGATGAGCATGCATCAGCACAAAGTATGTTTGGAAAGTAATTATCCTCGTGCTTCAACAGATGCATACTTTTGGTTCACTAAACAGGTTGTATGTGATATTAAGGATCATCAAATGTGAAAATGATTGCAGTTAAAGGTTTTTTGAAGACATTGTTAAGCATTTTTTTTTTTAGGAAAAGAGATCCCCCTCTTTCCTCTACAGCTTTGAATTGATGTGAATGTTTTTCAGTCTGATTTGAGCTGGCATAAAAAAAAAAAAATCAGGAGGATTATGCAAATTGTGGCAAAGTGGAAAGCGGGTGAGATCGATCAAAGGTGACAGCAATTTAGGGAGAAATGATGGTACAGTCATCACAAACAGGGCCCACAATCAGCGGGGCATGTAGCACGGTAGCCGCTAACAGCATCAAGGAGGAAGAGAGGGAAACACAATTAAACATCATTACTGAAATATTGACGATTAGTCATTCTGTGGCAGGCGCTCATCACTATTGTAAGCACTGTCATCATCTTCAATGTCCCGTAATCATTTATTGGTTTGAATAGTTACTGAGGATCTTAAAGCAGGAAGTGTTTTTTTAGAGGCCGGCTTAGAGTTAGTAAAAGTTATTTTTGTGTCCGGAGCACTCGCTCATTTTAAGGGTTTTCTTATCTTTTTTATATATGTATGATAAACAAATCAAAGAGACAGATGATGAGTTAATAATGTCTTTATATTTTATTATATTCTGTAAATAAATAATTCCCTGTAATCTGTAATGTTTAAAAAAAATGAATATTTAAGTCTTATTCCATCTGATTTACAGTAAAATACAGAACCAGTCTTGAGGAGTATTGAAACTAATTTCAATGTCATTTCCCCATTAGTTTAACTACGTTTTGCAGAAGCTTCAAAAGATAATATTTTCTTAATGTTTTCTAATATTCTGTAAATGATTAATTCCCTGTAATCTGTCATTTCAAATTAAGAAATATATAATATTTAGTGTTCATCTTGTTGATAATCATACATAACCATGGTTTGGGAGTATTTAGCTCAATGTAATTAATAATCACATTTGTTACACAAGTACTTCTTTGTCACGGTTGTGGGGCCATAAAGGAGACTAGTAATTATGTATGTGGTGTATTATCCCATTCCTTCTCCACGGGCTCTTATTATTAATGCATTGCATCATCAGCAATGCTGTTCGTTATCCCGCTGAACAATGTGTGTAGCCCTCTCTGGATCCCAAGACAAAAGTGAACCCAAAAAGAAACAGCTTGAGTTGGCACCTCTGCACAAGTTATAGCAGGACTAATTATCTCAGAGGGCTTTTCATCTTTTTTCATTTGGGTAATTCGCCATTCTCTCTGTGGCGGTTATAATCTCGGCCGTGTTCTCTTTATCTCTCAGCTGTACAGTATTACACTCCAAATGAGCCAGCCATATCGCTGCAGCAGAGTGAGCGTAGATACGGCAGAAATTAATACCTGAAGAGATATGTCCTGTTGATAACATACTTACGTGCAATATGAATGTATTCCCCAAAGGCCTTTGTTCCCCCCCTCCCCCCCCCTCATCCTGACATGTGTGAATGTTCTTGATTTTAATTCAGGTGTCCTACATGTCACTGTCAGTGAAGGGAACTCATTACAAAATACTGGAGAGACTGATTTGAGAATGAGGAATCCATGTTTTGAAGTGGTGCATGTTCCTATTAAATAATTAAAAATACCAAATAATAGCTTGAAAAAAAGACCTATTATGATATGAATGCATATTTGATAATGTAACCTAATTTCCTCCTTTTTGTTCTGTTCATTCTGTAAATAATTCTGTTTGTGAAATCCATCTGTAGATATTATTCAATAGCTACAGCTTATCTTTGTCGTCATTATTTGTTGCATAATTGTGGCGCTGTTACATCATTCTTCTCGTAATTAATTATCACCAAATTTCCATCTACCATTCCCTACATCCCTATTCCAGCCCATGCATTTCGCCGACGTTTTGTTGCACGATATTAGTTTATGAACACTAGGACTATTAATCTAATTTAGCACTTTGATGCAAATGTGATTACCGACTATTACTGATCATTTGGAAATATTTTAGACATCGTTGTGCAGACATTGGTTTATAACTATCACTCTATTGCCGTCAATTCATTTTCATGATAAAGTGTCACTGATTTAAAATGTTTTCCTTTAGTTTACAATGTGTTATACTATGGCTGCACAATAAATGAAAATGTTATCAAAATCCCAATCTGGACTAGTGCACTATTCAAAAAATATTTGTTAAAAGCTAAATATGTGTTTAAATACCATTTTTAATTAAATAGTGTGGCGTTGTAGAGATATCTCGACCTACATATCAGAACTTACTGACTCATAAAACACATTTGTTGCCTCTTAAAAATGTATGTTTCAATGGTAATGAGGATTATAATAAAAATATTATGAATTACTCTATTAACCTGAGTTATAAGTTATTATGTATTGTTGAAATGTATTTATTTCAACAAGGACCATGCATACAAATACATTAAACTCAGAAAAGAGAAGAGATTAATTTTGCCAGATTTGAGCTAATAGCTGATTTCTATCTGCAGTCCTTATTGCAAATTGCAATTTCAGTTCAAATAATTGCAAAAATGTGTTTTTTGCCATACTGTAAATACTGTTATATTTGACTATATTTTTAATTTTCTAGTTCTCTACCTGTGTTTTTAATTCTTGTTTTACTTGTATGTATGCACCACGACACCAAGTCAAATTCCTCGTACGTGTAAACCTACCTGGTAATAAACCTGTTGCTGTTGCTGATTCTGATTTATAGAATTTCAAAAGGTCTCTTCTTTTGCCTCTGAGTGGGGTATTCTGGGAGAGAAACAGTGAAGTAGCCGCAGCCACCACAGCCTGAGAGTCTCAGAGAGCCATTTGAAAAGCTAAGTGAGTGATCGATGACAGAAGTCAATTATCACCTCCCCAATCTGTCAGAGTTGAGCGTCACACACCACCCACCTCCGACTAACCATCAGCCACTGCGCACACCAGCTCAGAACGACAGGAAAACACCGGAGGCAGATACATGACAGGCAGCCCTGACACCACCATTACCTCAACATGTTCTTATAACGGCAGGAAACCCCTCTCATTTCACCGCCAGCAAGATTTATGTGCTGGAAACATTTAATCTGGACTGACGTTAACTAAAAAGAAAGCAGAGTTTGATTGGTGAATGTTCAGTACAGCTTCAACAATGGCCACATACTGTTATGTAAGAGGGCGGATTCCTCTAATGGGCTGAGGAGATCCGCCTTAACCAAGAGGCTTTGCTGCTCAGCCAACGGACCTGCTCTCAAGTGACTGATTTAATGTGAGAGGGGTCTGCAGGCTGGGAAATGATCGCCAAACCTGCAGAAACTATATGGTCCTTCATAGGAAATGTATGTGTTAGAAGGGAGTAAGGTGTGCATGAAGTCTATCCAATTAGCATATATATATACAAATTCTAGCTACAATAAACCACATTCTTTTATGTCCAAAAAGGAAGAATAATATGTATAAATGTTTAAACAACTTGGTTAATTGTTTTATTACCTTAGCTGTTTTCAACCTTCTCAAATTAATTATTTTTTGGTTTTATCATTGATTGAAGTCAACAAGAAAGAGTGGCACCATGATAAACATTTTTAAAAGAATACCTACTACTAACCAAGAGACTTTGCTGCTCAGCCAACGGACCTGCTCTCAAGTGATTTAATGTGAGAGGGGTCTGCAGGCTGGGAAATGATCGCCAAACCTGGAGAAACTAAAGTGCACTTTATTAGGAATGTATGCATTAGAAGAGAGCAAGGTGAGCATAGAGTCTAGCATAATATATCTAGAAAATATTGTAACATTTTAGGTACAATAAACAACATTTTCCAAAAAGGAAGATTAATATGTATAAATGTGCAAACCATTTTGGTAAATGTTTAGATTATTGTAGCTGTTTTCAATCTTCGCAAATAAATTATGTTTGCAATCTTAAAATGGCACCATGTTGCATTTTTTTTTAAAGAATAACCCAACATATCTTCAATTATCTTAAAAATATTGAACTACTACCAGGAATGGGGGGAATGAAACTGGATTTTGTTTTACGATAAAAGAAAATTACATCAAAATATTGTTCAATTTATGATATTGATTTTTTTGTAAGTAAATAACTGCTTTTATATGAGAGGATTATTTGCACATATTTAAGACATCCAAAAAAGGGTTGATGTTCCCTCTATTGCTGTACAGTAGATTCAGTCCCAGATTGTTTTAATTCACATTCAATTCTTTTTACAATTACCTTGACAAATATTGAACTACTACCAGGTTTGGGGACAGACAGGATTCCTTTTTTTTTGTGATGTTTTCCATGGTTTTGTTAAATAAATAAAAACCATGTTTATCTTATGCTTGTGCATTAATGTAGCACAACCACTTGACAGTTTTCTCCTGTGAAACATTTGATGTCTGCACATGTTAATGGCTGCCAACAGGATTCAGCGCATTGAGCTTTATTTGTGTCTACTTCAAAAAGCCGCGGGGCAAATGGACAGCCTCGTTCCAAACATCACAAACTCTCCTTTGGGTCTTAAAAGCTTCTTGAAGCATTCGCGAGTCAATCTGACAAATCGGCTCCCGGGCCTGAGCTGAAGCTAATTTTCAGGTAGGTGTTGACATGTGCACACTTCAGATGTTTTTAGGTCAGGTGCCTTGATGGTAAAAGTTCTGTCTTATTGTGTTTAAAGAGTTGATTGTATCCCTTTTTCCCTCATGCTGGATTCTACATGCACGCTGACAGGTTTATCTGCTTACCGTTGACCTCCTGCGCTCCGGCGTCAGTGAACAGCATGCTCATCACCTCCTCGAAGTTGCAGGTGGGTTCGGATGAGTTGCTGTCCTGGCCCACGCTGTGCAGCATCCTCTTCAGAACGTCGTCCAGCGAGGCGGCGGTCTCGTCCAGCAGGATGGTGGCCCGCGCCAGGAAGCCGTCCAGGTCCCTGTGAGCCCGGATCTCCTCCTCGAAGTTCATCAGCTTCACATACTGCGGGAAAGATTGAAATTGTTCAACGTCTGATGGTGTTTGAAGTCAAAGTCAAAGTCAACTTTAATGTCAATCTTACTCAGTTTGTGTTTACAGACAGAGTGATCGAAATGATCGACACTTTTTTTTTTATGCTGCTATGGACAATCTGCAATAAATGCACATTTTATGGACAATCTTGCACCAAAGATATTGATATTGAAGTGACTGTTATTTTGTATATATTGATTGTTGTGTTTTTTTTATCTTAAAGTGTGCATATGTGTAAATGTGTCTGTTGACTGTGTATATAGGATATACATATTGTATACATATTTTTATACATATCTGTATACTGTATAATTTTACATTCGAGATTGTTGGAAACGTCATTTCGATCTCTCTGTATGTCTGTTGAATGGTCAATTCTGTACTGATTATGCCAATCAGTTTAATGAAGAAGGCTAAAAAGCGATGTCAAAATGTATTGAGTTTCTGTATAATTGGACCTAAGTCACTTATTTCATATAAACTATGTTCATAGATTTGTGTTGTTGTGTCTTTAGTTAGCCCTAAAAAGACTATTACTGTCTAATATGTATTTCAAATAGGGCTGAGGGATGTGGAGAAATTACAAAATATAATTATATTTTATGACCGTTTTACCTCAATATTACAACAATAATGTATAATTGGTGCATTCACAAAAAAACTTACACAATTACGATTTTTGAAAAAGAATGATCAGTAATGTGGATATAAAGACTTAGTCAGTGAAGGCAAATAATAAAACAGTATGATTAATTCTAGAACATCTCAATACGTTACTGTTATTAAAGGTAGGGTAGGTAAGTTTGAGAAACCGGCTCGAGATCGCTAGAATTTGAAAATACACAACCGGAGAAAATCTGCCACTTCCTTATAGAGCCCCTCCTCCAACACACACGAACGCGCACATGACCAATGAGGGCACGAGATAAGTTTGTGCACAGATGGAAGGCTGACAGGCAGGTAGGCCATCCAGTTATTTTAGCCGGGCCGGCTAAAATGATTGGTCGTGCTTTTTACAGTATTACGGCTTCCACAGATGACATTTTTTTATGGATTTTTTGTCAAAGCACTTAAGATATTCATTGCTATCGGGATGTTAAGAGCATTCCATGGAATATAACAAAAAGTGTATCTCGAGCCGGTTTCTCAAACTTACCTACCCTACCTTTAAGCCTTCAAAACCAAGAAAAAACAACATGAAATATAACAATATCCAAAATCTAAGACAATATTTGTTTTCTATATAGTGTTTATACGGCTGTGCTGTCTCTGATATTGCATATTGGAAATTGAGACTACTAAAAATGTATCTCTAGAGATAACTGTAGTTAGCCAACATCATTTTAAGGAGCACGTCACTTAACATTTTTCAGTACTATAAAATAAATGCTATAAACGCAGGACAAATGTAATAATATTGCTTAAAAAGATTGGCCAACCTCGACTAATCTCATTATCAGGAAACATTTTAGTCAGATCGTGTTTTATTGATTTCAGTTTGACAAAGGTTTGAAAGATCTTGCTGTCAAGAGGATTACTTGGATTTCCGGCAGATCAGAATTTATTGTCGTCTGTGTGCGAGTTTAGCAGTACAGTCTGATCTCCTCCTGTTAAAAAATGTCAGTTCTAAATAGTCAGTATCATCGGAGGGGATTTAACATGTTGTGGCTAATTAAAATGCGTAGCGTGGGTTAACACAAAGCACAATATCAATAAAGAAGTAAAGTGCCTGCCAAGTTATCCCATTGATCGTTAAGCAAGCTACTCAGGAAGATGTCAACAATCCCACACACCGCTCCAGCTGTGATTACAATTAGAGATTTGGGCGCCTGGACCCAGTCTATCAAAATCACCAATGTAGGTTAAAGATTGTTGTTGTCTTTATGTAGTACAGCAGATTGAAAGGAACTCAGAGTGTTAAAACCAAACTTTTAAGTGAAAAGTATCACAGATACCAAAAAGTGTGAAAGTGTGCCCCCGGGCCGCCATTTGCCCATCCCTGATCTACACCCCCCCCCCTCTGAGCCAAATACTGTCCTTTTTGAAAACATGGAACTATGCATCCACCCTCCAAAGTTCACTAAATCGCACCAGTGGAGTCTGAGAACCACCTGAGAAGAACACAGCTCGATTAAGAGCCCAGACACCCAGCGCTCCTCGATTTCATTGATCGCGTGATTGACAGAAATTCTGAAGATGAGTGGGTTCCCTGCTGTTCTTTTAAAAATAAAACAAGCACAAGAAGAATCCATATCTCCAAGTCTGTGGAGATATTTGTGTACAGGGCTCTATAAATACATTTGATTTGTCCTGTGTTCGTATGCTACATGTCTCGGGTTTTGGTTCAGTTTTTCTTCTGGTCAAGTGATTCAAAAGGTGCCAATTGAAGCTAATTTGGGAAGATTTGAAGATACATTTTAGTCATACGCACTAAGGTCCACACAGTATCTGCTGGAGAAAGCATTGGGGAATTATTTCCTGAAGTTTTGAGTAAGAAAGCAAAAAGTATGCCGCTGTAGCAGAAACATCACCACATCAAAAATGTATTCTATATTCAAACCACTTCAAAAAATAGAATCATAGCACAATTCCTGACAGGTAAGTGAGGATGTGACCATGTAAAATAGATTATTTTTAAACCAGAAGGAGATAAAAAACAGGCAGGAGTGTAAAACAGAATGGGGAGATTAGTGAAGAGAAGCAGACAAGCTGTTCACAGGAACAAGGCACAACAAAGTGAAATCTGACAGCTTTGGTCACCAGTTTAAACTAATGCCCTCTGGGTGCTGCTCTAAACTCCCTGAACCGTGGGGGGAGAGCAGTCCATCTGTAGTGCAAGAAACGGCTTGTTGTACATGTATATTACACATACCTATTACCAGGGTTGGGAGGGTTACTTTGTAAATGTAATCAGTTACTGATTACTGAATACATGGCTCTGAAAGTAATCCGAATACAGTTACAGTTGCGTGTCTTAAAAAAGTAAGGGTGGGTTAACTCAGCCTCTGAGAAGAGGAGCGCGCAGTGCCTTTCACGCACCACCTTCACTGTGTTTACCTTCAGAATCATTAGAAAGGCTAACGAGCGACCGCAGGCTGATGTGTTTTAACCACACACACCTCTACACACACACACACACACGATTTAAACGCAGACTTTTGTTCCTCCATGTTTCGTTGTCGCTCCCTTTTTTGGTCCATCTGCGGCGGCAATAGGTTTTGTGCTCTGTGATGATTCGGCTGTACCTTTAGTAATGAATATTAAATGTTGTGAGGAAATCTTTCCACCAATAATTCCAATAAGTAATCCAAAATGTATTCACTTCAGGTTTACGAAAGTAACTGTAATCAGATTACTCGTTTTTCAAATGTAACGCGAGCTGAATACAGTTACTTGATTTTTGTATTCTGATGACGTAACGCCGTTACATGTATTCCGTTACAACCCAACCCTGCATATTACTCGTTATAGGAGTAAAATGAGACTGGAAAATGGTTGCTGGTATCAAAGTATGTTGGATACTTTTACATTTTTACTTTTACATCTACTCGGAAAATAATAACAAATCAGAGCCGGTTCAAATTCTCACTTTACTCTACACCATTAAGTCTGTCTTTAATGCTCACTTGTGATGTGAAGCTGTGATGTCTCGACTGGGAAATATACAAAGGTAGGGATGCAACTAATGTCTCTTTTCATTATAAATGAATTAACCGACTGTTGCCTAAATTCATTGATTAATTATTCCATTAGAATGCCAAAAAAAATAATCAAAAATGGCATGAATGAAACTCAAAATGATTTAGTAGCATATCATTTAGATTTAAGAAGATGCAGCCAGTCATTTTCTTTTTTGACTAATCAGATACTCAAGGACCATGTGGTTGATTTACACAGCTGCATATTTCCATTTTATCCCGAGTATAGTTCCTGTTGATAATTGGTTTACTAATAAATCCCGTCAACTCACAGATATCGCTGAATGTGTGGCTTCTAGACAGATAAGTAAGACAGATATTGCTGCGGTGAGTGAGAAGCATCATCCTATGAATTTTAATTTCCTTCCTATCTAACGACATCCCACCAAAATTGCCTTTGTCATTTTTGGAATATTCCACCCGAGTAACCCCTTCCTTTTCTTGGCTGACTTAAAAAAAAAGTTGTCTGCCGATTTTCATCAGCAGCAGGCTTGATTAATGTTACTCGTCTTGTCTGGTCGACCCCGGAAAGCCCTGAAATTTGGATGATCTAAATTGCAAAAGTCCAGAGGCAGAGGACACCTGTTTTAAAGTCCTGTCACTGTGCGCACACTTTAAAATACCGCCACAGGACTGAGGCTCTTCAGGGCCAGAGAGCAAAGACACACTGAGTGAGAATCTGCAGACAGTTTGAAATAAATTAAACCGTAAGAGAAATATTTACAAGAGCCAAGAATTCACACACCAGTCAATTTTAACTGCCATTTTACAACCTTGCTTGATCAGATTAAAACAAATACAATCCAGACCCTCTGCTCAGCACATGCAGTCCGGATTCGGAAGCGTTATTTAAAGGAAACCTATCATGCTATATTTAAATGATATATTGTAGGGCCATACCTATATAAGGTATATTTATACGTTTCTGTTTTCAAAATACCAAACAGATCATGCATTTTAGCCATGCCTCATTTCGCTCTATGTGCTGTTTGCTGTCTACGAGTCTGATTCTGCTGACCACGCCCCCCTGCAGGAGAGGGGAGACGTGCTCTGATCAGCTGCTGGGCTGTCAGAAGAGGGGGAGAAAAAAAGATCTCCGTACTCCGTGTTTTATTATATAGAGTCGTTATTCATTTGTTTTAAAGCTCAATAAATAACAAAGAAGACCTTTGACCGGCACTTTTCTAATTTTGTCCGGAAGATTTAAACTTTAACGGACATCTTGACCGGCGAAACAAACTGAAACTGAAACTCTGCCGCACGGTCCCCTCGTTCCTTGGAAGAGGCGGAGAGGTGGGTGTTTGTCATCTGCTGGTGGACTAACCGGAGAGAATTACAGTGCTTGCCTCGACGGGGAGGGATTGCATTGCAGCGGGAGCAAACGCTTGCCTCGGGGAGGGAGAAAGAAAGCCACAGCGGAGAATAAACAGAAGGGTAACCATGGTAACTAAGTCTTCTTCACTGCTTTTGTGGCAGACTACAGCGCCACTTACAGGCCTGGCATATGTACTACAGCGTCTCCAGCGCTTTCGAACGGCAATGGCCGTGGCTGTCTCCTCCTGATTGGTGGAGTTGGCCCAATAGCCGTAGCGCCACCGTCCTGACGTCCGGACAGTGTTCAAATCTGGATCAGTTTTTATCAGATCCGTTGCAGCCCCTTTTTTTAGAGATTTGGGTATGGAGGAAAATAGAGAGGGTTGTGTTTTCTGACACTTGGTGAGTTCCCTGGAACATCGGGGACACATATTCATGTATAAAAGACGTACAAAAGTGCATTTTGCATGATAGGTCCCCTTTAAAGAATTATGATCCTGATATTTCCTCTGGCGAAACACTAAAAGAACCGGCTCCTAACATGGAACAAAATGAGCGGGCAAACAGCAGAGTGGCATGAAAAAATAAACAGCAGCAGACAGCAGTATCACAGAAGAAATTCACACTGACAGCACAGCTATTCAGACGTCAACTATATTTTACATAAATTAGATTTTTTTTTAACAGACATCCCTGTGCACTGTGGAGCTGTGAGCTGTTACAGTGTGAGGGGAGAATAAGAAGTAGACTGGGTCTCGGTATCGGATGGTAATCATGACTACTAAAGTTAACTTACTAAACTTTAGCTTCAGTTACTGACTTTGACTGGGCTCTGGTTTCAGACAGAGGGTGAAAATAGGTGCTGCAGCACAGGCAGTATGAGAAAAATAAAGACCTTTTTGAAAATTAAAGCATGTAAAAGTATAGGTACAAAATACAAATATGAACATGTAAATGAGCATAATATTTCCTCTTAAAGGTGGGGTATGTAATTTTGGAGAAACCAGCTCGAGTGCGCTAGAATTTGAAACTACGCAGCCGAGGAGAGCCCCTCCTCCAACACACACGAACGCGCACATGACCAATGAGGGCATGAGATAAGTTTGTGCACGAGATGGAAGGCTGACAGGCAGGTAGGCCATCCAGTCATTTTAGCCGGGCCGGCTCAGATGATTGGTCGTGCTTTTTACAGTACCACGGCTTCCATAGATGAATTTTTTTAATGTATTTATTGTCAAAGCACTTAAGATATTCATTGCTATCGGGATGTTAAGAGCATTCCATGGAATATAACAAAAAGTGTATCTCGAGCCGGTTTCTCAAACTTACCTACCCCACCTTTAAAGAAGGCATTTAGTTTGTAGGGGATGGATTTTCTTTTTTGTTGTGTACAAGGTACTGTTTTATAGGTTCAAATGAAGAAAAAAAACAATGTAGGAGCTTGTATACAATACTGTGTGCTTCTTTGTTATCTATCCTACTAGATTTGAGCTGTAGAGTGCATCTTTTTGCTACTGAAGTAAACATGTTACAGGGTAACTAGGATCTGACTGGAGCTACACTGTATTGACAGATGGCTGCACTCATTATCGACAATGTGCCAAGTGCCCTGACTGCCAGAAATCACCTTATATTTGATGAATATTCATGCTCACCTTTCTTGACGTGTTCAGCAACACACAGCCAGAGTCGTCAGCGTCTGAGGAGAAACAAAACAAGAAGTACAGTTTCACATTTGAATTAAAACGTGATTTTTTTGTCTCTGTAAAAGCGCTGCAAAAATATGTTCACTATAGATTGATCTGATGATTATGTTCTACATTATGAGTTTAATGGTTTGTTCTATAAAAGGTCAGGAAATACTGAAAAACATTGTCATAGGCAAGGTGATATCTTTGAATGTTTAGTCTTTACAGTCTGAAACCTAAACACATTCACTCTACTATGATATTAAACAAGATAGGAAGGACATTTCCATATTTAACATGCTGAAACCTTTCCTGACATTTTTGCAAGGAAAATTACTTTAAAGAAGTTGTTGAAATAAAATGTTACTAGTAAAAATGTATTTCTTGTAAGTCTATATTGACATGTGTATTTTACAAACTAAACCTTTAATTGATCTTAATAAGAACGAATATGAATAGACCAAGATTCAGAATGTGTATCTTGGGGAAAAGATAAACAAAATAATCTTTTATCTACTTCTTAAGATATTATGTTCATGTTGGCAACCTACTTGGACAGAAACAAGCTCTGAGAGTAGGATATCATTCTGGAAATGTATTTTATTTGAACATTATTGTGATGTTTAATTGATTTGCTCCGTTTTATGTCTGGGTGAAACGTGTTTTATGCAACGGTTATTCCCTTTACAATTCCATTCCAATAAGGAATCTGAAAACAAATACATTTAATAAATATATGTAAAATGTAGCTTAATGATCTGTATTTGCATTTAAAAGCATGCTCTCCTCAACAGAGCATTCAATATTGATGCTGCAAACTCTGAAATAAAGATCACAAGTAATAACCACTAAGCCAGGAAAGCCAAGAGAAGCCCGAGACCCTTTTTCTAAAAGTGAGAACATTTTTCGAGAGGCGAGTCTCTAAATGCTCTCATTGAACAGGGATGGGAAGTTCTCCGCTGATAAGGTTTTAATACACACGCCTGTGGAGCCGAGGCAAGCGCTCAGATAAAGAACAAAGGTCTGGATTTTCCCAGTGTCGGAAAAAGGGAAAAAGGAGGAAAAAGCTTTTATGTTAGAAAACAATACGGGGACAAAATGAGGTTTCAGTCCCTTAACTAGCAGCCTCAGTACCCTGCTGACTCTCATAAAACAGTCCGTCATTGCCGTTACATAAGCACTTATCGCCGTTTGCTGTGGGGAGGACGTTATTGGGTTACCACGGGCTTTCCTCCTCTGCTCCACGTGATGCACTATGGCGGCTCCGTCTGGAAATCAATCAGTGCTTAACCCCTCCCTCCAGCCATGGAAAAAGCAAGAAAACCCCCCTTTAACAAGCCAATAAGCCCTAGGAAAGCACCAGGATGTCATAATATCAATAAACCAGCCACAAGTGTACATTTCGGAGTCTGCAGGAAAAAGACCGGGGCTTTGATTCCAACGGCAAACACCTTGCCTTTGTGAAACCCTGCAGGCGGTGGAGTGTAGAGCCCCTACCTCTGAGACGAGGCTGTGGCAGGGGGCATGTGTCGCGTGCAGTGGATTTGGTTCTTCAAAGCCTCACAATCAGAAAGCACGGCTGGGCTGATCCGCTCCCAGAGGGGAGAGCGAGCCGCGGCTCTAATTGAAGTCAGGCTGCAGCCGTGAGGAGATATTCATATATTCATATAAGATTACCTCGTCCCCAATGATCACCTCCTTCTAATGGCCTCTGTACGTCTCAATATACTCTGTGGCTTAGAGTAATCCCGGATCCTTTCAGGGTTTAGGAATGAGGCAGAGGAAGAGTTCAAATGTGACACCAGTGTGTTTCCTTATTTGATTACATGGCACTGCAACTGTTGATTGTAGCCACAAGTGTTATGTTATTTTCAGAGTGGAGTGTTGTTTTATTTCAGTCATTAAGTGACTGACGATGGCTGAATTACATCTCTGTCCTTGGGTTAGGGCTGGGATGTGTTTAAAACAGAACGTGCATTTCAAATATGTGGTAGAATAATCCCAAATGATTGTGATGCTTTATTTATTTACTCTTTCTTTATGTCTGGGTGAAACGTGTTTTATGCAACTGTTACTCCCTTTACAATTCCATGCAACATGCAAACTGAAAACAATTACATTTACTTAATAAATACATATCAAATGTGCCCTAATGATCTGTATTTACATTGAAATGCATACTCTTACCAACAGAGCATTCAATATTGATTGTGCAAACTTTGGAATAATAATTGGTAGTGTATAGCTTCTATTCACACCCTTGAGATCAGAAACAGTTGTCTCCAAAAATGCACATTTCTGTTTCATTAACTGCAGATGATGTTACTTTAAATGAAGTAAACCTCTTAATGGTAAATGTTTTCAATGGATTTTTGGTTTTAGTTTCAAGATGTCTACACTACTATATATCTACTGTATAAAACAAACCCCACACAGTTATCAAGGTCAGGTATTGACCTTGGTCCATGCCAAAATCCTCAAGTTCCCAGTGAGCGACGCCTGTCCTTCCTCACGACTTTTCCACTTGAGTTTTCAGCCAAATTGATTGAACTGAAATGGAACAGAGCCCAGCGCTGGCAGGAATATAATCATGAAATCAATTATATTTATGGAGAGCGTTTGACAGCTTTATGGCAAAGTTCTCAGAAGAGAGAATAATGAATAAGATCATGTCAAAACCATTAACAAAAAACAAGAGACAACAAACAGAATCTCTGACAACATTCCCACTAAACTCTTCCATTAACCACACTTCAACATCCGCTTGAATAACTGCTATCAATCACGCACGGTTTGATATCTGCCTAATGCCACTTACACCCCGATACTGAGCAGAATTTATATCTGACTCTCCGACCTTCACACGTACTTCCTGCAGACACTTCTGTGTATGTGCGGAAAGAGCACGACCTACCAATAACCAAAAACGGAGAGAACACGGATAATAGAAAATTACAACATATATTCAATCTGAATCGATCTTAGTTTAGCGTATTAGCAAGCTAAAATGTTCTAACATGCATTAAACACAAACAACAGCTGGGACAAAATGTCAATCGTTTTGAGCTATTTTGGAAGGAAACTAAAATATTGGAAGATTAAAGTTTTGACCGGATGTGAGTGATAGATTGGAAGTGCAAAATATCCAATATAAAACCGATTGGCTCGTAGGGAACAGCAACATCCTTAGGATACTTTGTCTGGAAACCGAAGATTTCTGTACAGGTTTTAGTTTTGGATTCATCAGTAGATTTTTAATTTATGTTGCCGGATAAGTGACATTTTTGACCTGCTGGTGGCGGGAATCAAGAAGAAGATGCTCAGCGAAGTCTGTAGGATTTCTCCTCTCAGCACCATGGATGTAGGATAGCATCCTGATGGTGTAATAGAATAACAATAGTGACTTCTGTTGAAGGCGGGCTTGGCCAATCATGATTCATCTGCATAGATCTCACTACACGCCAGTTTGTTTAAGAATTAGAGGTACAAATTATAGCTGAATAAACCCCCGGGAGATGCCTCATTCTTTTGCATGAATTTATTAAGTATTTCCTTAAATGCATTGTGATCGTCCCCTTTACATTAAATAAAAAGCTAAATAAAATAAATAGAAAACATTATAAATATGATTATGAAATGAGACAGATGAGCACACAAAAACAATTTACTTTTTCAAAGATAAAAAAAACAACAACTACTGAAGTACTTGAGAGGCACAGCTGTATTTGTGACATTAAACTCAAATGTTAAGGTCAAGACTGAACACTGTCCCAGAAACCAGGCATGAGACCAACGTGATAAAAGCATCCAAAGCACGACTACATTTGTCACGAAGGAAGACACAGTTCGGATACATAGGGAAAGAAAATAGATTCATTATAAACAGACAGATGTTTTTCAAATTAGTTAGGAGCTGCTCTAATCTCTAAGCTATTTACTTTCCACACCACTGCTTATTTAGCCAGACAGGATGTGATTAAAAGTCCTGTTCAGAGTCCTATATTGATTCGATACGGTGGACATATTCCACAGAGGTTTGCGGATGTTGAATTATAAATAACATTACAATTTGTGACATCAATTAAAAGCAGCAACAAGCATGCAAACAGTTAAGGACTCTGGGGTCTAATGTATGTGACAACTAGACTTAGGGGAAGAAATCTAAAGAAAATACATAATCAACATTCAGCTGTGCTGTGAAACACTGGTGGTGTGTCGTGACAAACATTATGAACCTGTGGGTGAGAAAACTGCCTAGTGACAACAGTAAGAATTCAACATTTTACATGTATTTAGAGGAGGGGCTTTGTGGTATAAACACTACAAAATGTAGGGGTTAAAGTGTTTTTAAAGTGTGAGTGCCATGGGTTGCAATTAAGGGCGAGTGACATGGTTATTATACAGCATGAGATAATAAAATATATTGCAGTCCTGGCTTCATTTATTTAAGTGTATAATATTATTTCAGGCAGTGTTTGATTCAAATATGTTTTGCATCAATGTAAGGAAGCTTTTTGTTTTGTCTTTGTGTTTACTGAATGTTTTAACTGTACCTAAAACCTTCAAGCATGTAAAATCATATCCAAGTGTTCATGGATTCTCACACACAACGAGCCATATTCAACATCCTAGGATTAAAACACAGAAGTTTTAAAATGTGTTGGAGCGCTAGCCAATGGAAGCAAGAGTGTTACATATTGATATCACTTTGAACTTTCGGATTTTAGACCATTAAAATGCACAAAAACCTACAGGAAAGGGAAAAACCCAAAAAGCATAAAAGGGCCTCTTTAACATTTATAGTAATACGCATTGTCAGTATAATCTGCTAAGTCAGTTTACACTCACTTAGTATTTTGCACTCTTATTTTACACCTGACATTAATAGCGCCTGTCCAACTTGAAAGACATGTTCACGGTTGTATTTTTTCCTCTAACTTGTTCCCAGCGTGAACCACTGACGCCCTCTTGTCAGACGCCTTAAGTGTTACTATGTATGGAGAATGAGCCCGAGTGACATGGTCAGCTGTCACATTCAAAAGGAAACGGGCATCTCTCTCTCTTTCCTTCTCTGCCCGCGGTGCACCTTTGACTGTTGCCTCGGCAACGGTAACGGTAACCTGTTGACTAGCGCGTTTTTGGCGATGGGTTCAAAGTCACCCTAACCTGCAGCTGATGAGCTGTCCGTCAAGTCAACACCTGCCATCGGGCTCTGGTATGGACTCCACACAGAAAATAGTTTCAAGACGAGCGTTTTCTTTTGTTGAGCATTTCTCTTTTGCTGTCTTCCTGAATGATGCCTTGGAGATGCGCCATGACTGCAGACACACTGCCTTTGAAGAATGTGCCTCATGTTATGATATAAAACATCTCCTGGCTGAAGTGCAAGGAGTAGAAAAAACGTGAACGGGTGATATTGATTACTCGGTTCAACCGCGGAGGAGATTATTGTCTGGAAGAGAAGAAATCAGAGAGGCAGCTAGCCAAATGTTACTTGTTTTTTAATGAGCTGAACCTCCAGGTTCTTAATCATTAAGTAACAAAAATAATGTAAGATCCCAATGACATTACAATTGTGTTAAGGATTGTAATATTTTGAAAAACCGTACGACATCCTCTAATATGTACGGTGGCTGACAGGTGCAAACAAGCTACAACGGCACACAACATTTCCATTAGGAGAAACACGCTGCAGCCTAATTTAAAAACTGAAATGTGCCAAAAGACACGAATCTTCCCCAACTTGAAAAAACACGTGCAGGGTTTACTAAAAGCGCTGCATAAATGAAATGCTGCAAGTACAACACGCTGCAAGAAGCACAAAACACACCAGAAACGGGGACATTAAAAGTGCTTGTTGACGTTCGGGGATTATAAAAGTTGGCACAGGTTAGCTACGTTAGTTCGATGGATCTGCAATAATATTGGAAGGAATCATGCGATCACATTGTTCAAAAAAGCGAAACTTACATTTTAGGTGCGTTTCCAGTAAAAGTGACAATCGCTCCAGTCCCTAAAAAGTGCATCACTTTTAAATGACCCCGTTTCCGTCGTTTTTTTTAATCTTCTTGCAACTACAGGGGGTTTCTCCTAATGGAAATGTTTTGGGCTGTTGTTGCATGTTTGAACCTGTCAGCCACCGTACATATCCCCATTTCACTCTATCTCTAAAAAACTAAAACATTTTCACATATGAAAACAGATATGCTTAAATCTATTCTATTCTATTCGAAATGATCTGATTCAATACTATATTACTTATCAACCCAAAGTATCCAAAATGTACTCCACATTTAAAAATTAGAATTACCTAACTTGTAAGAAAGAAAAAAAGGAAAATAGAGGTTTTTTTTAAGACTAAAGGATTTCTACTTTTACTTTTAGTAAAAGTGGACCTATCATGCTATATTTGAATAATATATTGTAGGGCCATACCTATATAAGGTATATTTACTATATACGTTTTCTTTTTCAAAATACCAAACAGATCATGCATTTTAGCCATGCCTCGGCAACCTCTCATTCCCCTGATAGGTCAGCTCCTCCGTCCTGACATCAGAGAAATGTTCAAATCTGGATCAGTCTGTATCAGATCCGTTGCAGCCCCGTTTGTAGAGATTTGGGTATGGAGGAAAATAGAGAGGGTTGTGTTTTCTGACACTTGGTGAGTTCCCTGGAACACCGGGGACACATATTCATGTATAAAAGACGTACAAAAGTGCATTTTGCATGATAGGTCCCCTTTAAGTAAAGAATCAAATGACTTCTTCCACCTGTGTATATTATAATCACCTCTATAGTGAATTTCTATTTGACTTTTTGGCCAAACCCTGCTCTCTCTCTCTCTGCACTGACCTGGCCCGGGGCTGATCTGGTTGTCGTAGAGGTGGATGTCGTCTCCGCAGGTGATCGGCGAGTCCTGGCCCTCCTCCTCCTGGCCCTCGCTGCCCTCCTCCGGCTCCACCTCCCGCTGCTCTGGGGACACAACAGCACAGGGTCACATGCTGCACCGAACCCTCTTTCATCATTATCATCTTCAGACAAAGTGCCCTGAACTAAGAACATCCATAACATTCACCTGTTTGTAACTTACAAATTATGTATCACTTGTATAGAGACTCTTATGGCACTACTTTTATTCCATTCTATTTTATTGTATTTACTTGCACAATTTTTTTTTTTTTATTGTGTTGTACTGTTGGAGGAGCCTGGGACATAACTACACTGTAGCTATGTCCGAATGACAATAAAAGCCTTGAATCTTGAATCTGTAAGCCCTGATATTCATGCGCCACCATTCTGCTCAACTATTAGGGCAAAAGAACATAATAACCATCTATCAACACGAATATGCTAATAGCCAAATGTTTTGTTGGCAGAATACGAGGATAAATAATTTGACTAGAAGATACTCTATAGTTTGTACTTTTATCAGTTTTATACTGTGTCATTATCTATTAGTGTATGTGTACAATGTTGTCTTTGCATTGTTCTACAGCTGCAGCAATTAGTTGATGGATCAATTAGTTGACAGAACATTCATTGCCAAACATCTCAATAATTGATTAATTTAAAAAACCTTTTTAATGCAAAAGTGGCAGAAAATGTTGTTATCAGCTTCTCAGATTCCCTGCTTTTCTTTTTTTTTCATATTATATAAAACTGAATAGATTTCAGTAATGGACATTACAAGATGTCTCCTTGGAAACAGGGATGGAAATTGTTCACTATTTGCTGACTTTTCAATAGACCGAAAGGCAGATTTAACAGTAATGAAAATAATTGCAGCCCTACTCTGTTGTGCATATGCATTTTATTATACACATGTTTTATTTGTTTACATCTGGAAAAGGCCTTTTAAAATACATATAGGGTCCTGATGTCACTATAATCAGCAGCTGAAATGTCTATTCTTATTTATTAATGAATATAACGCAGTGCTGGGGGTAAGCAGAGGATCTCTAAGCCTAAAAAATAAATAACAAATTGCACAAATTATCAAAGAAATGCTATTAGTTTGTGGTCGTTTTGATGTGAAGACAGGTCTTTCATGAATAAGCAGGTAGACATGTTTTTCTGAATCGTTGGACAGGGTTTTCTTTGGTAGAAAGCATCACAGCCCGGAGTCTGTTTGTATGACTCATCCCATTTTCTCTGACACAGCAACCACTTAAATCCAGAGCTACAGTAACTAGCCAGCTCCTAATATCATCCTGCGATGGTCTTGATGCGACAAGAACTATCCCTGTGCTCTTTATCTGCTGACCTTATCTGTCGGGAGGCCTTCATTTCAGTTCATTCAGTTTGTCTTGCATCGGGATCATCCCTCAACACTTGACATTATTTGAACCTCGCTGTGTCGTCGCCTCGCTGCGTCCCTCTGTGCCTCAGACTCACCGGCTGGGCTCTGACTTTCAAATCACCTTGGGAGGGAAGAGCGGCCGCCGAGCACTCATACATGTTGTATTTTAATATTTACTTATTAGTCTGTGTGCTAGCCCATAGAGTCCTATTGTGAACCCGAAAATGTTGAGTACCCCAAACTTCTATGTTAGGAATGTATAGTAAGGGTCCCCAGCACATAGACACTGCCGGATGCTCACTTGCATATGTTGGGCAATTTGCACTTTTAGCATAATATGCATTCATTTGCATTAATTAGCCTGTGCAGACAATGGTACAAAAAATTGCTTGGATGATTTGGAACATTTTGGAGTGGTTTTGGAGGTTATTGAAATAATTTCTGACATTTGCAGTATCAAAAATGGCCCTTTTTGTGCTCTGAATGGGCTTATTTTTGAAGTAATTTGGGTCGATTTGAATGTTTTAGGTGACTCAAAACTGCAATTTTATATCCCTAAAATGTCCGACATTGATTCAACATCCTCAATATATCTCAAAAACCACCAAGTGTGCAGCTTTACCAGACATTTACTTAATTAGCCAATAATCTGCAGATAAACTAATATATAATTTAAATGAATGAAGATTACCATTACATCAAAACAGAGCAAAGAAGCAAATATTTACATTTGAGAAGCTGGAGGCAATGATTCATTGTTTAAAACTACGTTTAAAGGTTTTAAACATGGATGGACTAACACCAGCTGTATGACATAAATATTAGTGCGCTTTGATGAGTAAACAAATCTTCTCGAGACATTTACAAGATACTTTTTAACTGTGTGAAACTTTGCAGGATTAAAAATGATGATGGCAGCTAAATTAAAGGGTTCCCCTCAGAGCTTTTAAGTGGCGACGGGCCACCTCGCCTGAATTAAACACCACCTCCGCTCATAAAAGATTAATACACATTCATAAAGTAAGACATCCCGCTCCAGGGAAAAAGGCTGATGTACTATTTGAAGTGTGGCTATTGTTCCTTATTTATTAAGTAAATAGATCACAAGATAAGTTGCGTCTGGATTTAAGTGGCTTACAACCTCTGCTGAACATTTTCCTCTGGGATCTGAAAAATGCACAAACTCACCTTAAAAACAACCAGTAGAGTTACTCTAAGGTGTATTACAGTATGAGGGAGCATTGAAGTTAAAGAAAACTCAATAAAAGTGTCTTGATGTATTGCTTAAAGGGGCTATAATGCTCATTTTCAGCTCCATATTTGTATGTTGTGTCTCTGCTGGGACATGTCTCCATGCTTTAATGTTCAAAAAGCTCTTTATTTTTCTCATACTGCCTGTGCTGCAGCACCTCTTTTCACCCTCTGTCTGAAACCAGAGCTCAGTCTGCTCTGATTGGTTAGCTGGGCGGCTCTGTTTTGATTGGTTAACCGCTTATAGATGTCCCGCCCCTTAGCCTACACGTACAATGTGTTGGAGCGCTAGCCAGTAGAAGCCTTAGTGTTACAATGTGATGAAAAATAATAATAGAGCCCCTTTAACATCAGACAGGCAAATGCATATCTCAAAACTATCTCCACAGCAATTTGTCTGATAATATATTTTTTTAATGGACCCAAGCCTAAATATTCCTATTCTTCACAAGCTTTTTGCTTTTTCCTCCTCCGTATTCAAGGCCACAAAGAGAATAATTTAACCCAAATTGAGCAGCCGTAATCATATTAATAGTTGATATGACTCAGAAACACATCAACTATTAACGCACTGATAAAGAACATAATGACACAGAAGGCACTGGTATAATAGCATCACTTCTACAGTGCAAGAAATACAACAAATATTATATTTCATGTCACCCTGCTCACAGCCTTTGATCTCCGAGTGCATTTGGCTTCCCGTCCCACCCCCACTAATGAACCTTTGAGAAGAGACAATGGTGGATAATGCTCACTCGCCTACGATAATGTAATTGCATTTATATCCTGATAAAAGGTTGCCTAATAAAGACAGTTATGTTGGGCTGCATCAGGGGGCCTTGTGTTATTCTGCCGAGTGAATTGGTGTGTTGCAGGATGGGAATAATTAGCTGGGGGAGACGGGGAGCTCCGACGCACGCCGATTCTGTCCTGCCTGCTTGTGCTGCACATACTAATTGGGTACCTCTCCTTGGCTTGAAGGTAATGAAACCGCCGTTATCATTACAGCGGAGCAAAGTTCATTATTTATATCCAAATGCAGTGGAGTGTGAGTCTGTGCAGCAACGCTAATCTTAAATCACATCTTTCATTATGGATATATTCTACAGCAGACATTATAGTGTAGTGCAGTGAGTCCGCGTGGGAAGTTAGCATCGTAGCATCATCCCTCCAAAAAAGCCCATGGGATTTTTTCGACTGTGGAGTATTGAAGAAAATAAGCTCTGTGGCTAAGTAACGCTTATGCTACTTACTGTACGTGTTTTGTTCAGCAGGACAATCCCAAAATACTATCATCATCTTTATCATTTTTGAAGCGTAAATGCAATCACCAGAAGTATAAAGCTAACGTAAGGCTACAAACAAATGACGTCAAGGTTGACTTTATGACACCCGCTAAAGGCGGCTAATATTTGGCATTTAGTCGTCTCATTACTCAGTTGTTAGCAACCGCTTTGTAAAGACACCTAAAAGCAGAAGTTCATGAGTTGGGTTTTTACTGACATATTTGATGTGGCAGAAGAAAACGTGATAATCTCCTTAACTAGTGTTAACCACAGACCATATTTTAGGCATCTAACCAAAACACGTTCAAAAATCCATTGGCTTCAAGACAAGAGGCGCTTTTACACCAAGTACTTTGCCGTACTTAGTTCCCAGTACTTAGTTCATCGGAACTCTTTAGTTCCCGGAACTAAAGAGCAGATCGCGTTCACACCGGAATAAGCCCCTGAGGGAGGATTAGGCAAATGAAGCCGCTGACGTCACTTCTTCTTCTTCTGCTTTGGGTTTATTGGCAGGCCGCAATCAACTTCACGGCGTATACTGCCACCCGAAGTCCCCGGCCGGAAGTCCCCGGAGTTGGCCTTCCGAGTAAATCGCCAGAAGCGCCGACACCTCCTCATCACTCCACCGCTCCCATGTTTTATTTTGTGTTGCCATAAGTTAGTCTCTCTCCGTTGGTGCGCGGGGCTAATGCTAATAATGCTAATGCCAGCAAATACAATGGCGGCTTCACAAAACTTTTCAGAGTTTTACGGGGCGTGGTTTGCAATCCATCAGAAATGGGAACCTTTTTCTCCCAGGAAAGTACCTGTTCTCTAGCAGGGACTAAAAAGGGGTGAAAAGGTTCGCAAAAAAAAGTTCTAGTTCCAGATCTTTTTGGTGTGAACGCAAAATCCCAGGAACTATCGGAACTATTCCTGGGAAAAGTACTCCGGTGTGAAAGCGTCTAAGGGCACCAGACGTGCTAAGATGCTAACTCTTTTCCTGGTTTAGGACTCATTCCTGCACCACTTTATTGGCAGCAAATACATGTGAATAATAATAATAGGATCACACTTTTATTCACACTTTTTCTCCAACTCATGGATCCCTTATTATTGGCTGCTTTGTTTTCCAATGTGGAAATGTGTTTTAAATTCAAGTGTACGTTACATTGATGCAGTATGTTCTGGTGTTGGCTCAGACTCACCCATTTCCTGAAAGAAGTATCCATTCTTGGACATCCCAGAGGGAGGTGCCTCTGCTGGAGAGAGCAAAATAGAGAAGACAGTAATCACTGAGGTGAACAGTAACAAGGCCCTGCAGGAAGCAAGTCTTAATTTCTAAAATCAGAAACATATTATTTGTTATTGTTTTAAACAGTAATTGACGGTATGAGAGTTGGTTTAAAAATATGAGCCATTAGCAGACTCATTTAGTCATTTATAATGGATGTTAAAGGGAAAAAGACTTGCAATTAAATGTAATGCATAACATACACCCTCAAAGCAATTTACACAAATTGCATTCAATCATTGACTTACTCCCCGCTGTGAGATGAATAAAGGATTTCTTAGTATCTGTCACCTATTGGCCATTAGGAGACATTTGAATATTTACTTACACTGCTAAAGGGTTTCTTGTCTGACATATTCGTGGGACTGATAAATGTTTTGTTTTGTGAGTCCTTGAAATGAAACGGCAAAGACACATCTTTTGAAATTAATCTCTGGCAGACACATTTTAAATCCTCTATGATAAAGGTGTGGTCCGATTAAAGTACAAAAAGATCTTAGTTAAGACAAACTAAATAATGAATCGTTAAGTCAACAAAAGGCCAGAATATTTGAAAAGAAACAACTACTTCAAAACCGAACTTGATTACACATTTTGTGCAGTTGATACATTTTTTGTCAAATGACTGACTTGGTTCAAATAAGAGAAAGATCATGGTCATGAACTGCGAACAGGAATCAAAGGCGTTCCTTATCTGAGTCGTATATTTTGCCGTCCATAAACCCTGACCCCCTCCTCTGCCAACTTTGTGACTATAAAAGCTTTTTACACGGTTCTTCCTCCCTGACTCCCCGACAATTAGGAGTAAAGATTGCTAAGGCTGCTTGAGGTCTTCGTCGCTTAAACATACTTTGTTCCCTGGCGTTTTCTGATCCTTTACAGTCTCCTAAATCACATGGTTTTTGGTCTTATATATGTGCCTACAGCAGACACAAAAAATGTATCCGCGGCCTTCAAAACAAAGCGGCGTTTTTCCTCATCAAAATTCCACGGATGCCTCGGACATTTTCTAAGGGCTGTGGTTTGGACCCAGCCATCTGTTGCATGTAAAGATAGCGATAAAGCGTTTTAAATTACATGTTAAATCCTAAAAAGAGCCAAACTAAATGTTTTATGATTATTCGAATAGCGAAAATGTTGCCGACTAATGTTTTCAACGCTAAATGATTGTGTCTAAGTCCAAACTAATACTAAGAGACTGAGTCAGGATTGTTATACCTGTTGCTCTGAATGATTAGCACTTTTAAACAATGCTAAATCTTCAGTGAAAACCACAAAAATGGTGGAGCTGCCTGGCTTTACTCTGTCAGTCTGAGAATAATGGACAAAAAAGAGCGTATGAACAGTGAATAGTATTTATATTGTGAAGTAAAACGTTCTCCTAATGAGGCCTTAGCTGTCAAAGACACTGTGTAAGAGTGAGCACAACCCTGCCATTCAATCAGAAGTCTAAAAAAGGAAATCCCTTATCAAAATAAAAGAAATGTGCAGGCTTCACTCCTTACATGTTCATTAGGTAAGAAAAAAATGTTCACAGTCTTTTCATCTACACAGGGTTTGACTCTGCTCTTGCATTCAGAGATTTTCCATTACTGAGTGGTTGCTTCCAGGCAGAGTGCAGAGCATTTTTATAAAATGGTGGATATCTCATTTTGGAATTAAAGTTAATCTGGTGGAGGGCTCCACTACAAACGCACACAGAGAGAGACGGGGAATTTAGAGTACGACGTTTCAGGGTGTTTGTCACGCGGCCCTGTGGATGCGTGCTGCATGCGGATGGCACAGAGGCAGATATGGAGAGGGGATACTTTGAAGGTTATTGAGACATGCTAAAGGAAATAGAGGGGGGGTGTTGTGCTACTCGACATCAGTCAGGCTTCTCTTTCACATTCAGCCTATGTGTCCATATTCATCCTTTAACCAAAGATCTACAGCATGTCTGGCCGGTTTTTAAGAGGCAAGATATACTTTATTTTAAATTGTAAAGCACTTTGAATTGCCGTGTGCTGAAAGGTGCTGTATAAATAAACTTGCCTTGCCTTGCCTTGTCACACACACACACACACACACACACACACACACACACACACACACACACACACACACACACACACACACACACACACACACACACACACACACACACACACACACACACACACACACACACACACACACACACACACACACACACACACACACACACACACACACACACACACACACACACACACAATGTGAAACCCTGATAATGAGAAACATCAAGATATTTCTCAAAGGATGCTTTGATGTGACGAGCGTACAAATACAGGATGCAATTTTAATTATAAAAATGTTCCTTTACCCTGAGGGAAAAAAAACTTAAGAGTAAAATAGCTGGGGATCTATCTATCCCCATAACAATTAGCTTGTTTAATCTACACAGGTAATCATGTAGCTGCAGTAAAATATATTGCCTTTTTTTCTAAGTCTGTCACTTGTGGATTTATCAATTTCTTTTTCAAAACTTCCCCGAGGAAATGGCTTCAAACTATTTCAAAGGAATCATTTGAAAGTTTTGTGTTTATTTGTTTTCTTGCTGAGAGTTTGGTGAGAAGATCAATTCCAATCACTTGTCTGCTCTGTAAATATGAAGTTAGCTTAGCACAAATGCTACAAACGAAAACAGTAAACTTGGCTCTGCCCTGGACCACTTAGAAGCATCATAATGCCCTTCAATCTAATGAGGTTTACCTGTTTAAATTACACGTTTGGCTTTAAAGGGGGCTGAGCAGTAATGATAAAACATTAGAAGTAACAGTCAGGGACGTAACCCCTGTAAAACTTGAATTTACACTTCATTTTCAGTGCATTTTTTGTTGTTTTCCAACAATATCATTTTGTTATATCCAACGACAGGATACAAAAAATGTTAGTCAGTGAATTTAGTTTGTTAGTTGTATTTTTAGACATTTGGTCTCATCGAACTGTCCGGCGAAAAGAGAATTCAAAAAAGTTCTCAAAACGTATTAACTGTGGCTTTAAAGGCGCCCTCTTATGGGTCATTTATTGTATTTTGTGCCACTACTGTGACATGTTTTATGCTTTATTGTTCAAAAAGCGCATTTATACTAATAATACATGGAGTTTCACAGTATTCTTTAAAAGATACACATCCTGGAATGAGTTCAAATGGAAGACGTATTTTTATTAGCCCTAAGAAGCGACATTCAACTAATGGTAAAAGTATTTTAATGGTCATAAACCTTTACTGTATGTGCCTTACATATTCTCACATTATTCATGTTAGCTGGTTATTCCCTATGTGAGGCTTCAGGATACCGCACATCCGTCATTCTTCTAACCATAAAGCATATACACTGACATTATTAAACGACTACTCCTTGCTTTATAAGGAAAATGCTTCCAGGTGGGTTAACTGTATCGTATGGTTTTAAAAGAAATTCTAACAAGAAAAAGGGACATTTTTCTTTAGTCGTACATCTTACTGCGCCAAAGAAAGTTAGTCAAACTAAAGTCCCCAGTGTTTTCTTTCAACACGCACGCACGGGAACATTTGTCCCAAATCCTCCTCTGCATTTCTGAGTGTTTGATTGTGATGTCAGTCACATAAAATACACTTTCCTCCAGCATCCTGCACACCACACACAGGTGGAGCTCATCCCTGTCATGCAGTCTGCTAACCTGCAGCTACTGCATTAAACATTTCTTTCAGAGCACACAGTCACTCAGCTGGAATATGAGTGTGATCGATACACAACAATTTGTTGCCATGCATTATTCAACGTCACCTGCAAAATCTGTTTTTTTCCCTTCTCAAGGTTTAGACTTTTGAAATGCAGTTGAATTGTTCCTATCAGTCCAAAATCCCAAAACGACCAATGAAAAAGGCTGAAATATGCTTTACAAACCTATATAACACACTAGGGAAAGTGAAAACCACAATAGGGCCTATAAATGTCAATAAAACATTATTTACAAAAAATGACTTTAGTCCTCTCAGAAATGTTGGAAAATCATTGAACAAAACTAAATCTTTCTCTCTCCTGGAGGAGTTCTTCTGTTGAACTTATTTATTTATCATGACAGCTTCCTGTGACTTAGAGCTGTGATGAGGAGCTTCATAAGGAAGGCTCACATGCTCTGCTTGTATTGAGCTGTTTGGCTCTCAGTGATGCAGAGAGAGATCTAGAGGACTGAAGGGGACTGCATGTTATCCATGTCCTGGCTTTTCTAGATCAATGACAATACAGCAGCAGACGCAGAGGATACTCTGTGGAAACAACGAGCTCCACTTTATAATCACATGTAGTTCTTAACTTAAAGGGGACCTATCATGCAAAATGCACTTTTGTACGTCTTTTATACATGAATATGTGTCCCCGGTGTTCCAGGGAACTCACCAAGTGTCAGAAAACACAACCCTCTCTATTTTCCTCCATACCCAAATCTCTAAAAAAGGGGCTGCAACGGATCTGATAAAAACTGATCCAGATTTGAACACTTTCCTGATGTCAGGAAAGTGGCGCTACGGCTATTGGGCCAACTCCACCAATCAGGAGGAGACAACCACGGCATTGCCGTTCGAAAGCGCTGGAGACGCTGTAGTACATATGCCAGGCCTCTAGATGGTGCTGTTGCTCACAGAATCAACCCTTGCAAAAACAGAGCTATAAATTGTCAAATTGAGCGAAATGAGGCATGGCTAAAATGCATGATCTGTTTGGTATTTTGAAAAAAAAAAAGTATAAATATGCCTTATATAGGTATGGTCCTACACTATATTATTCAAATATAGCATGATAGGTCCACTTTAAACCTTAAAGTGAAATATACATAAAGAAGTTTAGTCTCTTGAATAGAGTCACCTGGTATATCCTTTTACATTTTAGCAGACTATAAACTCCTAAATGAGACTGTTTTTTGGAGTTAAATGAGCTGCAGGTGAGACTGGACTTGTTATGGTTG